AATTATTCGTTTTAATTTCGGCACGAGGTGACTGATGATGAAAATGAGTTGGGTGTCGGACTGTCCGAGATCGACCGCAGGACCCCTCACTCGCAACTCGCTTGGTAGCGACCCAAAATCAGCGTCGACTCCGCGAGTCGCGAACCTTGCGGAGACTCATCACGTGGTGGCACCTCCCCCGGGCAGGTGAGCCACGCAACACCTATTGGTTGCGATGAGAAAGCAAGCGAAGGGAAATACATGCTGAATTAATTCGCAATGTGTATCAGCTTTTGTTCATTCGCGATCAATGCAGGCGACTTGTATTCGGGATTTTTCACCCAAAGGTGCTTGACTTAAACAAAAAAAATTACTTTCAAAATGTCAACCGCAATTATTGGACTGAGCTTGGTCATCGCGTGAGTTGCACTCTATGTTTATTTTGAACTTATTTTGTCGGCCTTCTTCTTTCGTGTCGTGAGCTGAAATTGTGTGCGTGTGTCGGGGTTGTTCAGCAATCGAGTAGCGTCTGCGAAGGCTTGGTGGGAGCAAGACGGTCGCCTACACGCGGTACTCGTGTCAAGTGCGTCTCTCTCGATGCAAGTAATGCACAGCCCAGACAACAGTGAATGTCAACAACCGGCTCCTGAACATCGACCTGGATATGAATAACAGCGTTAAATTGTCGGTGTGTGTATGTGTGTCAGCGGTAATGTAGCGGTTAGCGCGCTGCGCTACGAACCTGGCGACCCGGGTTTGATTCCCGCTCACGGCCAACACCAGTGACGATTATCTGAACCGGTCCTGGACCTCTCCTAGGTCGACTCAGCCTCAAATGAGTATCTGGTGCGGTGTGTAGTAAACATCGCTACTGGGGAGACAAAAGCGGTCGGGCGTGGTTTCTGGCCATCCATCCCCTCGTGTACCTTTCCGGCTTTTATAGGTGCTCGCTAACAGCACTTGCCCCTACAGTCTGTTAAGACTATACGGGGGATATTTGTCTTTGCCATTAGCTCTTTTCGGACTATATTAAATGACTGTGGTCCAAATGTTCCTAATGGTTAGAGAGGGGAAAAAATATCCTGACCAGAATACCTTGCATCCAGTCCTAAGTTAATGTTAATCACATGTATTAATGTAATATTTTAATAACAAATTCAGGTTTTAAAACATATAAATCAGCGTCACTTGTGCAACCGCACCGCGCAATCCGCAAACGCGGAGCAGATGCTGCCGCTTATGGATAAAAAAAAAAGAATTCAGCCAACGAATGATGAGTTTTTATACGTGTGAGAGAAAACCCACGCGTGCGAGGTGGCAACGCTCGATCCCCGTGCAGAAGGGACAGGTGACATTTAGTCCACATTTTCCCGCTCTAGCCTCTCTCGGCGAGCCAAGGTACACGCCGTCTCTTCGACGCCCACGGGAATGGAGTTTCGCCGAATTAGTGTGGTGATCTATCAACCCTGGAGTCACGCGAGTCACGTGGGTAGTCACCACAGCCAGGCTATTGACATCAAGCTGCTTAAGTGAATTTGTACATTGGTATAAGGAACATCAATTAAGCAATATCTGTTCTTGATGGTGAACGCGGCCATTTTAACAAAGCCATTTGCTATTTTTACTGTTGGGGAAACATGTTATTTGACTGCCGCCTAAGTTGTATTACGTTAACGTTGTTATTTATAGCGCACATGTTTGTCGATAGTACCTGTCCTCAATTATACAAAAAAATAAAGCATCAAAAACACGCCGTGTATTACCCCTTCATTCTGTTACTTTTGTGTTCTGTAAACAATTATTAAATTACCCATGCTTTCAGCCAGGAACATTTCAGCTCTGTGGTTTAGTTTGGAAACGGCTCTGCCTTTAATGTGCTAATGTGTTTTCTGTGCCAAGAAAGCTCGGCTCACCGAGAGCTCCATGTACCACAGCATGCACCTAGATGCAATGTGCTTTTTCAGTGGCATCACCCTCACATCTTGATTTCATCGCGATTAATACAGTAGAGAAGAATACATTACAGAGTGCATTGTCGTGTAGTGTAGACTAGTGTATTGTATAGTGTGGTGTATAGTAGTGTAGTGTATAGTGTAGTGTATAGTGTAGTGTAGACGAGTGTACAGTAGTGTATAGTGCAGTGTATTGTAGTGTATAGTGTAGTGTATTGTAGTGTATAGTGTAGTGTATTGTAGTGTATAGTGCAGTGTATTGTAGTGTAAAGTGTAGTGTATTGTAGTGTATTGTAGTGTATAGTGTCGTGTATTGTAGTGCATAGTGTCGTGTGTTGTAGTGTATAGTGTAGTGTGTTGTAGTGTATAGTAGTGTATAGTGTAGTGTATAGTGTCGTGTGTTGTAGTGTATAGTGCAGTGTATTGTAGTGTATAGTGTCGTGTATAGTAGTGTATAGTGTAGTGTATAGTGTCGTGTATTGTAGTGTATAGTGTAGTGTATTGTAGTGTATAGTGCAGTGTATTGTAGTCTATAGTGTCGTGTGTTGTAGTGTATAGTGTAGTGTATTGTAGTGTATAGTGTCGTGTATTGTAGTGTATATTGTCGTGTGTTGTAGTGTATAGTGTCGTGTATTGTAGTGCATAGTGTCGTGTGTTGTAGTGTATAGTGTAGTGTGTTGTAGTGTATAGTAGTGTATAGTGTAGTGTATAGTGTCGTGTGTTGTAGTGTATAGTGCAGTGTATTGTAGTGTATAGTGTCGTGTATAGTAGTGTATAGTGTAGTGTATAGTGTCGTGTATTGTAGTGTATAGTGTAGTGTATTGTAGTGTATAGTGCAGTGTATTGTAGTCTATAGTGTCGTGTGTTGTAGTGTATAGTGTAGTGTATAGTAGTGTATAGTGTCGTGTATTGTAGTGTATATTGTCGTGTGTTGTAGTGTATAGTGTCGTGTATTGTAGTCTATAGTGTCGTGTGTTGTAGTGTATAGTGTCGTGTGTTGTAGTGTATAGTGTAGTGTATTGTAGTGTATAGTGTAGTGTATTGTAGTGTATAGTGTCGTGTATTGTAGTGTAGACTAGTGTAAAGTAGTGTAGTGTATAGTAGTGTATTGTATAGTGTAGTGTTGAATAGTGTATTGTAGTGTATAGTGCAGTGTATTGTAGTGTATAGTGCAGTGCATTGTAGTGTATAGTGTAGTGTATAGTAGTGTTGTGCCTCCATAGAGCCCAATGTGTTTGCTTACCGACCAATTCCCTGTTAACGACCGGCTTTAATAGGTACAGTAAATATTAATGCCTTGATTAACCATGTTTATGCTAATATTTTGCGTTTATAATGTATTATGTATTATTATCCGTTGTTTAAATATTATGAAGTCCTTTTTTTTGGTTGAAAAAGGGTAAATGTCGATGGTATCGGAACGAATTAAGCCTTTAAATTGTATTTCCTGTACTCGCTTAGCAACTAAAAATCACTAAACGACCCGTTTCGTGGAACCAATGACCGTCAACATTATGAGACCTCCTTTGCCAGAAACAAGATATAGGAATAGGTTTTACCCTTTTAACTGGCACAAAAACTGACACCTTTATTCAAGGCATCATGTTTGCAATGACCACAACACAAGCAGTCAAAATGCAAACAAAAAAGACAACTCTGATAATAATATGCACTGTCCTTGAATTTGATTGGTCCACACCCGAGACAGCTTTTCTTAGAGCCTAGTCTCCATTGGTGTTGGACCAGAAGACACCAAAAGGCGTACAACTGAATGCCTTTTGGCGTCTTCTGGTCCAACACCAATGGAGACTAGGCTCTAAGAAAAGCTGTCTCGGGTGTGGACCAATCAAATTCAAGGACAGTGCATATTATTATCAGAGTTGTCTTTTTTGTTTGCATTTTGACTGCTTGTGTTGTGGTCATTGCAAACATGATGCCTTGAATAAAGGTGTCAGTTTTTGTGCCAGTTAAAAGGGTAAAACCTATTCCTATACCAATGACCGTCGTTAAGAGAGGTTCTACCCTACATTACGATTACTGTTGCTTACAGCCCTTTGCCAATCCACTGCTGGATGAATGACTCCCCATGCGTGCTGGCCACGTGGAGTTGCTGAGCCATACAGCAGCGTGCTGGTCGGTGGAAGGGGGCCCAGGGCTGGTTTGGATATCACTCGCAAGTTGAGTTCGCCATGGCACGGAATCAAACGCTGGTGCGCAGATTCACAGCGCAGCGCTTTAACGACTGTGTCACAGTACCCCCCACCCCCCATATATATAAATATGATTTACGCATTTTATAGGCTTCGTGTCCATGTCCACTGCACATTTACATCGTATCTAAACAACAAATTAAACGGCCCTTGTAATGTCTAATAACGATTTGACAGCCATACAAATATTGTGCGTTTCAATCGATCGGCTTCTGTGCCCGGCGCGTCCGTTGCCTTGTCCGGCCAGCACACTTCTTCCTGCGCTGCAAAGACGGCTGAGATGCGCGCTCTAGGTTGACGTATTTCACGTCGCGCACGGACTGAGAATTATAGCGATTAGTGTGCTGCGTCGAGATGGGCCCTGTTCGTGTACGCACGCCACGGCAGGCCGTCGTGTTTTGAAGGGAACGTTTAGCCAAATGTGTCAAGGCAAGCCTCGTGAGTCACAACAGGCAAGGGTGTCCACGATTTACCCCACCGATCGCCTTGCCGCGTGGTCCTCAGTTGGTCGTAGTGCAGTCCCGCGTGTAAAGACAGAGCAGGGGAGCGGTGCGCGCAGCTGACCGACTCGGTGACACCTGGGTTCGACCCAGTGCCGGATGCTCCTAGTAGCAAAAGCAGCACATGCTACGGGCCCCGCACTTTCAAGGGCCCCGCGCTAAACGCTCTCAAGCTATCAATTCCGGTTCAGTGATTCTGCACTTGCTCTATCACTAGAGTACTATACCGCCTTCAAATTTTATGAACGACTGGGTGTTTAAGGTTAGCGATTTGTCGTATTATCTGGTTGTATAGCAAATGAAAAAATACAATTACTTTACTATGCAAGTAAAAAATGTGTGTTTTAATATGTGTGTGTGTTGTTTTATTTAGGGCCCCTTTATAACATCATGCTACAGGCCCCGCACAAGCTTAGTCCGGCCACGACCGATGCTGGGCACCCGTCCTCTTCACATATCTCCACTCTCCGGCGTGGTGAAGTATGGTTAAACAAAGCCTCATTAATAACACAGTGGAGGTTTGTACATTATAATAATTAAGTACAAACAGCATCTTAGCGAGCTCTTCAAATGAACGATGAACGTTGCGTGCCGTATTAAACAACCGTTTTCAATTGAAACCTCCAGCAACGAACGATGTAGCGGCCCATTGTGTGCTTTATTGATGTCAACATAGAAACCGGGGAAATATTTCCGCACGGAGGTAAGTAACCTACTCAGACGACCTCGCAGGAGCTGAGAAAATCTCAGCAGTTGAAAACAATGGAGGTGTCCCCCACCACCACCACCGCCAACCCAAATCTGTCCACCCAGCAGTATCAATGGGTTCACCACAGTTCTACCATTGGCAGGGCACATGTGGTGGGGTAAAGTGTGGGTATCCCACCTGGCCGGCGTGGAGCAATATACCCTGTCGAAGGGACTTTCCCTAGAGCTCTCTCTCGAGTGGAGGCGCCTGCACCAGCAGTGGCGTCGGCATGCAAATCACAGGGCTGCGGAATTTGCCTTTTAACGACATCCTCAGAAAAAAAATCTGGGATCGCTTGGAAAACCAGGGCAATGACGTCCCGTTTACGGCAGCGGCATTGTGAACGCGACCTTGGTTTGAGAGAGGGAGGCAACACAGACGGCGTGGGATGCCACACCAAGTTACTTGGATCTCCATCTGCAGATGAACGAGGACTGCTGATCAACCAACCTTTGTTTCAGATGTGCATCAATAATCCATGACAGGTCCGTCCCAACAAAAATCGCGCCGTCCCTTAATAAAACACACGAGGTGATGATTCGCTGGTCTACAATTGAGCGGGATTGCTTTAAAGGCATTTCTTTGCTACGGCAATACATACAACCGTTCGTTTAGAATGTATTATTTTTAGACGGGTACTTAGAATGTATTTGTGCGCAGGATCTCGGGTTGTCCCTTTAAGTGGGTGGGGCGCGCATACCTGAGAGCCACGCTCGAGACATCCGAACACGTGCCAATTGTCCCTTCCCGTTCTCAATTCGCTTTAACAAAACGAAACCTTCGTCTGCTCGAAGAATAGCTCCTTGAAGCAAAAAAATAAAACCCCACAAACACTTACGAATGAACAACTTGCGGTAAATGGATCCTTCAGTAAGTGGCACACAAAAACCACGGGGATTCTTTTTTTTCTTACAAAATGGACACCGGAGCCCCCCACCCACCCCCCCTTCGGAACCAAAATAGCTTTAGGCAATTTTTGTTTACTTACTTTGTTCCATTTTTGCTGTTCTGTTATCATGCACAGACGCACTTAAATCCGCTGGCATTTGTAACGCGCTGGCAGGAAGTGAGGGTGGGTGGGGGACGGACGTCGAAAATCACGGCAATTATTTGATCAGGAAGGGGCTCAGGAGCGAGTGCGGGGGAGGGAGGCGACGCTGCCCCTGCCAGGCGAGAGATGTCCGCCAGGCAGGCGGCTCGTGGCGGTGGCTCCCGGGCCCCACAGTCACCGCCCGTCTTGGGGTTATCCCCGACGCTGCGAACAAATGATCTCAGCCTCGGCTGTTGCTCTACAGGGGGAGGAGAACGAGAAAAACAATTGGTGAAAGAAATAATGAACTAACATCTCTTTCCGCAGCCGCCGCCGCCACCCCCACCACCCATCACTTCCCTTTACAACAACAACAACCCCCCTCCACTACCTCTGTTTAGACAAGCAGAACGTTTGGAAACTGCACAGCCTTGGTTCGTTTAAGGGTCGCTTATTATTTCAGTGTGTGCGTAACTTGAAAGGTAACGTTTGGCGCGGCATAAATAGCGGACTCACATTTGATTAGCGGCTTCGCGGGAATGCGGTGGCCCCGACGAGACTGCTGTTGCCACCGCCAGGGAATTATCCTGCCTGTGAATGAGATGGCGATAATGCCACCCAGCACTGCCATCGCCACAGTCATCCATTAGCTGTCTACTGCTGGACGAAGCCTTCCCAAGGTCGCACGGTGCAAACATACATCGAGCTCCTGCACAACAGCCGCTCTGATCGCTCCATCTCCGAGTGTCCTCTCCTTTGCCTGGCACCCACGTGGTTCGTCTTGGCCACCGGCCATCGTCCTGTTGCCCCATGGCCAGGCTGCGTGGTAGAGGCGTCATCATTATTATACATTCGTCGATTAACATTGATCCTTACACCTTGCGTGTGCAAAAATACATCTTTTCTATTTGTATATACATGTCATACGTATTTGGTTCATGTGATTCCTGTAGCCACTAGATGGGGGCTATATTCACTTCAACACTTAAATGAAAAAAAAAGGGAACGGCGAACGCAAAAACATATGCTCGCATTTATCACAGATGTATTGGAGAGAGTGGTGGCAAAGTGGTTAGCACACTGTGCTTGGAACCACGGCTAACATCAGTGGCGAGTGGTAACTTCACCAAGCCACACCGGCCAGTGTGGAGCATGGTCAGTGTGGAAGCGTGGTCATACCATCCCCATGACTGACGCGTCAGGCCTTCATCCAGCAGTGGATTGACAAAGGTGCTTAATATTAATAACAATATATGTAAAAATACATCATATGCAGTCTCAACTATTTGTATACAGAATGTGAACCGTCAACAGATTCTTAAACAATGCTTTGGTATGTTACGCACTCGTTCCAATTACGGGTTTTTATGGGCATCTGATAAATGTCAGCGGAGAGAATAATGCACACAGGAGAGCCATAAATGATGTGCATTGCTGTGTAATCCCTGCCAAATCCCCGCCTAGTTCAGCGTTCATGTCTTCAATGTCTCCGTATTTTCACTAATGTTTCCCTTCTCTCCACATCCCTGCAGGGAAACCACTCTCATGCGTTCCGCGCATCCTACACTGTATCTCACGCGCACGTGCGCGCAGGCGCGTATATATGCATGTATATGTGTGTGCCTATTTGCACTGGGGATTGACCAGGAATTTCATATGTGCCGTGGCTCAGAAACGCCGGCGCAGCTGAGCTCTCCCTGAGCCTACAGCACTTGCCTGCGCTCAGCCTGTGCGCTACCATTTCATGATGCATTAGACGTGCGATCTACCTGGCCACCGGCTTTCCTGTTCATTCTGGCCAAACTCGTGATGAAAAAACCACATGTTTTATGAAAAATTCCATCATTTCACGGGTACAGTAGTTTTTATGTGTTTTTTTTTAACAGATAATAGCCATAGAGCGCTTTGGTTTTCGCAGCCCACGCTGCGATTCGTGGCTGATTCGGTTTTTTTGGCCACAATTTAGTCCAAAAACGGAAACAGTTGCAGAGGCGAAGGATTAAAATAGTTATAAAACTGCTGCCATCGCCGGCGTTTCTGAAGAAATATTTGTGAGTCACGGGTAACACAACGCAGTTCAGTAAAACATTACACAGCCCAATACAAACATCAACTATGCTTCAAAATACCAACAGCGCACAAGTGATAAGTGCCTTCTGGCTCAAATAAGTGTGGGACAGTGAGCATTTCCGTTGGTGGAAATTCCACATTTCTATGGTGTGGACTAGATCGTTTCACAGTATGACTTTTGCTTTATCACATGATGGATTTGAAATTTGCCACAAATGGGGAGCTTCCTCTCATTGCCTCTCTCTCTCTCCCTCTTTATCTCTCTCTCCTTGCAATGTTTATGTAAAAAAAGGCAAACAGTGAAATGGCATCTCTTAAAAAAAACTCAATGTTTGGAATATATTACCCAAATTGTGGATGATGATTGTGTCTCAGCATTGCCTCAGGCCACAATTTGTGTGACTAAATGAAAGCGATGATAGGAACGCCATTTTTATACGAGGGCCTGTCACGTAATTTAATCAAATTTCCAAAATTATGCTTCAGTTCCTGACTTCAATAATTCGTAGCCTTGTTACCGAAAAACAACGAATGTCCATTAGACGTGCCCGTTGCGTTTGACGGCAGCTCAAGACGCTCGCTACGACTCCGGTAAACAGCAGTCATTTACGGCTGCTCGCGCGCCTAATGGCCTGTGCCGAACAACGGGACGCAAAGCTGCATCTATCCCACGCGCATCTCCGCCTCGTCAGACGCTTGCCCGCTAACATTCACTTTCGCCGGGGATATCAATAACGGAAAGGCGGCGACCGGTCAAACGGCGACAGGGCAACGGCGTAAAGGGACCCACACGCAAAAAAAAATAACCGGGGTAATTTAACAAACCGTAACAAGTGAGCGCCAATTCTTCAAACTGAAAGTGCCTCGATGTTTACATGATAATGAATGAGCGCCGTGCTCCCGTCTCGGTAAACTTGAGAGCGATGGCCGCAAGTGCGGGGATCTACGCGGCTGTGATTCCCGCAGAAGCCGTGGTGGCGATGCACGGTACCCCGGCGATCCAAGAGCGTGAGCCCCCTGTATAATTGGCGGTCGTGCGCCACACTCCCCCCCCTCCGCCCCGCGCCGAGCCCCCTCCACCCACCGTGCGGGGCTCTCTGCAATTTGTGCGTTGACGAATGTGCCAGGGACAGGGCTCTCGCGACAAGGGCTCAGCTCTTCTCGATACGACCGCCGCGTCAATTAGAGAGGCGCACGTGCACTGCAAGTCAGCGCGCATTTGAAATGTCACGTTCTGCCGCTGATATTTCACCCGATTGACCCCCACTCCCCACCCCACTATCACACTTAAGTAGTAGTAAAAATAATAAAGTGGGATATGGCAATTTTATTTTTTACTATATCTGCCTTGCCAAATATTCAGGATGATCTCTTTCTTGAATTGATGCCCCGATGGCCAAAAAAAACGCTCGATATCTTGTGCGTTAATAAATACTCCGAATGGAAATATCACCTTTTGTTTTATGCACGTAATTTACACCTGGAATCATGACCTGTGCCACGGCCAGGTCACGAGAGAGGCCGTGAACATGAATTGCAAATCACGGTTAAGTGTTCTAATTTAACGAACAAAGATGAAGAAAAAAAGCCAAGGGGCAAGCAGCAATGCTGAATCCAAAACAAGAAAACCCGACCTGTAATTTATTCAGCATTCCAGCCGTATAATTTTTACAATGAATTAACCGGGAAAATATTTCCGTGTTAATAAATTCAATTGAATATGCCTGCACGCGGGTAACTTTCTCAGATTATCTCGCAGGAGCTAAGCAAATCTCAGCCTGCAGAATTTGAATGCCCATTTTATAAATTGAAAATTCAATAGGTTTTAGTAACTGTCTAAAATCAGAGAACTATATATCTACCCTGACAGTCCAGACAGTAGCCCACCATCCACTCTTAGATACCTAGAGACCTACAGAGTCATATAGGGACCTATAGACTCTCACAGAGACCCATAGACCTACCCTGACAGTAGCCCACCATCTACTCTTAGATACCTAGAGACCTATAGACTCACACAGGGACCTATAGACTCTCACAGAGACCCATAGACCTACCCTGACAGTAGCCCACCATCTACTCTTAGATACCTAGAGACCTACAGAGTCACATAGGGACCTATAGAGTCACAGAGACCCATAGACCTACCCTGACAGTAGTCCATCATCCACTCTTAGATACCTAGAGACCTACAGACTCACACAGGGACCTATAGACTCACACAGAGACCCATAGATCTGCCCTGACAGTATCCCATCATCCACTTTTAGATACCTAGAGACCTACAGAGTCACAGGCCTCAGACTCGTGAGCTCAAATGCCAGCACCTTCCCATCGGAGCTGCTTGTCTTGCGTGCGGCTCTGCAGGCAGCATCCCTGCCGCACTGTCGACGTGGTCGTCGGTAGTTTGAGGATGACGTCCATCGGGTCTGGTGGTGGCTCTTGAGGTGGCTGAGGAGGCCAACTGTGGATCCGAAGATCTTTGGGCACTTGGGGCGCCACGCGGTCCGAGATTCAAGGGGAATCCGCAGTGCCGGGTTGGCTTCTTTTCCCAAATCCTTTTTGGCGTCGATCTGCATCGTCATGGAGAAGCTGGGCCTAATGTACCCCCCCCCCCCCCTTTATTCACACTCGGACTACACATTTCTCTTCGCCTCCTGCCTTGACACCCGTGGCTGCCGTGAGACAGGGACCATGGCGCACCTACTGGTCTGGATAAACACTTGACCGGTGGCAGCACGCGAGCAGAACAAGAGCTCTCGTCTCTCCGTAGAGCGACATTAAACACCTGCCATCCTCAAGCGTGAGCTTTCAATCTAGATGTAAGATGCATCATGGTACATCACCGTTGCAAAATAGTAACATAATTACAACATGGGCTATCACAGAGTATTGTAAGTAGCGTATACAATATACATAGCAAATCTAATAATCTAGGTTGAAAACTCATTTCTTTAGAACTGCTTATTGTGTTTAGGTTGCTGTCCTTCCCCGCACCTCCGATTAGCACAATTAGCTACGTACCGTGCGAAAGAAGTTCAATATACATACGCACATAGTTAAATATAAACAGTAAAATAGTAAATTTTGATTTAAAGCTTTCGTGACTGCAGTGATTCATATTCTTGGTTCTTTCGGTAAAGTCACGTTGAAGGGAAACAATAAAATAATAAAATATATAAAACAATAAAATTCTCACGACGTTTCGACTGCAACACAAGCAGTCATCATCAGGTGTGAAAACCAACGGCAAGAACATTTGAACGAAGTGGCGGTTTGTATTTATTTATGTTTAAACGTTAGCACCACGGATAGCGATTTGACAGTTTGTTTAGATGGACGAGTCCATCTATGTTCGGAAAAGAGGAGAGGGGAGACGAAAAATTAATGTATGCTGTCTGAAAGCCACCATAAGTGTGAACAATCAATTAAGACCCGAAATGGTTTATCAAATCCTTCCAATGATTGCTAAACCAGATAGCCTCATGAGGCTATCCACATATACAAACACAGAGACAATTTCAACCGAGAAGATGGAGGAGATGGAGCGATGAAATGATCTCACGTGCAGGCCGTCGCCTGGATTGCCGCGCCTGCAGGATCTTGAGATGTGTCGGCGGCGGCTTAGGGAGGTGTCGATCCAGCAGTGGATTGACCATGGCTGCTGATGATGATGTATATTGTTCGGGATGACTTTCGACAGGGAAAAACAGCCTCATAATCGGGCATCGTCTGAGCTGTGTGGACGC